ATTTTCTAGGCACTTCCCTTTCTCTGGAGGTGATAGGAATACAATCCTGTCCTGATAGTGCCTAACAGCCCAATAGCACCTTATTTCAATGTGACTAGTTTGGAATGTGAGGATGTGACCCTTCGCTTCCCAGCTTATGGCTGCCTCTGCTGCTTAGCCAAAGGCCTTAGCCTAAGCACAGGGCCACAAACTGTCACAGTAAGAGAAGGCCCTTACACTGGCAGACAGTGGTTTTGATTCTTTCTTTTATACCTCTATCACTAGCCAAGTGATAAGAATACACCTAAATTCTTAGAGTATAGGCCTTTACAGACAGGCCTGAATATCTATATCCTAACACTCCACCCCTTTTTTTTCTTTTTCTTTTGGGATCCTCCTGCCCAGGTATCCCTGGAAAAGCATAGGACATATGGCGACACATTTCCTGATAGGGCCAGGCATCAAGGTGGAAGGTGTCGATATTCCATTTGTCCCACTGCCCCTTGTGTAGTATAGTGCCCTGCACCTTCTCTCATACGGGCATACCACACCTATTCCAATTAGTGTTCCAGACTTCCCATTAGAGTGGGCCTGAGAAGGTTGGGTCCGGGTTGTCTAGTACACTGCAGGGTTTGGAGGGCTTATTACATTCCTAATAGGTTATCTCCCTATGCAACGTAACACAAGTACAGTTAACAATACAAAATCCACAGCAACACTGAGTCCTGACCACTGCAGTATGGTCCAACATCCGAGACACCCCCAAAATACTGCCTCTCCTCCTTCGATGGGGTCACGATCTTGTGTCCAGTTGCTGGCAGTTGCAACAAGCTGCTCCTTCAAGTTTTGTATGCTTTTGTCCATATCACAAGTCCATTGAATGTTCACAGAGAAATGGGATATTGTCCAAACCAGCTTGACCACTTGGTATGGAATCAGGCAGTAAGCCCTGGCTTATTCACAGCAATAAGATTCACAGATCCATTTGTGCACCAAAGTCCATATAGCAGCATGTAGATGGGTATAGTTTGGTTATGGGCTGGTGTAATTGTGCCCCCAGTAATATGTACATTCCCAGCAAAACACCTTATACACAGTACACCCAATTGTCCACCCCTTGCATAGGCCATTGATCCCGCTCCTCTATAGTCATAAGAAAGGGGCACATCCAAACATCTTCTATTAATTTACACTATTTTACACACACCCCCATTGATTTCCAGTGAGCTCCTCCCCTTCTCATTATTTCCATAGGGCTTGTGGGGGCCACCTTAGTTGCCATTCCATTTCCAGGTATCACGGTAGCTATTACACAGGTGCTGGCCTCCTAGTTGAGAATTTGCATTCCCATACACATCTTCCCCCCCAAGGCCAGCCTTTGGAAGCCATCCCCCACCCACATCATGAGGTTTTCTGTTCATTAAAACACAACAATGCTAGCAACAAGACAAACACCACAGACAAACAACACAAAACATAGATCCATGGTATTCGGGGTTATTTTTCCCGCTGGCACCAGCTTGCTTGTAGAGTGTCTGAAAAACAAAAGAAACAATTTCCTTCCCCATGGTGGGGACAGATTATTGCTTAATAATAATACCACTTTCTTTTACAAATGTCCTTGCTACTTGCAGGAAAAACAGAAGAATTACCTCCAGACTGTCCTTATTTTGTTCTATAGTCAGGCTAGTGAACTACCTCACTCACTGGTCATTTATGAAATTTATGAGATGGTGTACCTCAGTTTCCCCTCTTGTACAACAGACCAAGTTTGCAATAGTTTCTCTGCTGTACTAAGCTTTAAGTTTATTCTCAGGTAATAGCTGAGACACAGCTTCAGATTTTAGCACTGTACACACACACACACACACACCCCTTAAGGTTAACCTGTCCCCCTTATTTTCAGGCTTGACTTGTTTTTTTCACCTCCCTTTCCTGAAGGGCCATAATCTGAGTCTTCTAGTAGCTTGTTTGCTGGCCAGATGTATTCAGTTATTTGCAGCTCCTTTGTGCCCATCAGCTAGGTAATTTGCATTTACACACAGAGGCTTACTAGCTTGCTTTTGGATCCAAAGCTGTTAGCAGCTCAGACACTGTCTTAAAAGGGAAGCATTTTACTTCCACCAGAGTTCTGATCACTTTCCACTTTCATCTCCTGCTTCAAAACACAGCGATCTGAAAAAGAAAGCACAACCTATTGTGGCTCCTTTTGGAGCCCTATTAGGATTTTAATGAAGTACCATGTTTTATTTGCATTTCTTTTACTCCTTTTCCAATATACACTGCACATGTCCTGGGAAAATGCAAATTCCTTCCATATAGTTTAACCTCCATAACATCATATTAGCCAAATTAATTTTACACAAGGTATAACTGCCTCCCCCATGCCTACAGAGTTTTCATGCAGAACCCACCAAAGCAACAATCTAATCCCCCAGAGCCATCCCAAGGCTCAGTGTTCCCATCATTCCTCCCCTTTTCCTTTTCTTTTACCTGTGCACACACACACAAAATTCTGTTTTGCCTAACATCCCTTGCACTGTGATTACTCTTTTTTACACAACTGTACCCCAATTACACTTCCATCTTGTCCAACTAGACACAACCAGGGGCAGCCAAGTTAAGTTCCAGTAGAAACCCCTTCCATCCTTTAGTGATTTTGATTACATTACCCAAAAGTCAAATAATTTTGATTAGATTCTCTCTCTACCTGCTGCCTGCAGCAGTCCCCTATAGACCATTTCTGTGGGAAAAGGGCCCATTTTTCCTCAGAATAGCTATAAAGGCTTCTGTGGACAGAAGCGTAGTGGTGGGAGTAGCCACTCTACCTGACCCCCTTGGATAATTTAATTACCAAGCTTCCATCCAATGTGACTGCACAGAGTTGCACATACAGTTACATTTATATACCTGGGTTTTATCATTAAACAAAAACTTCCTTCTTGACATCTCACATAAGTATCCAAAGTACCCTCCATTAAAACTTCAGAAAAACAAAAGAGTGTGGAAAGGCAGGTTGCACTTTGAAACTTTTATTTTATTTTTTTTTTCCCTCCACTCCCCCAGGACCAAGTCTCAGATCCAGTCTCTAAAGGTGGTCTGTTAACTCTGCTTTTGACCTTAAACCCTTTTGTGCCAAATCATCTTTCACTATCCCTAACTAATTTACAACCCTTCAGCAGCCCTTGCTGAAGCAGCACCAAACTTGAAAGATTTCTGGCAGCTTCCCATAATGCTGCCCTTACTTCAAACCTCTCAAGCAGACTGAAGTGCCTCTTTTCCCTGGGAGGCATTCAGTCCCGATGGGCAGGGACCTTCTTCCCCTACCCATATACCAAGGAGGGTGGGCTCCTCAGCCACCCCCCATACCTCTGGGTCCCCTAACACTTCCTCCATTTCCTTTTTAATCTTATCCCAGGTTGACCCCTGTACCTGGTATGGGCCCTGGTCCTCCCTTATCCATTTATCCAAAAAATCCTTTACCCTGGCTTGCCAGAACCCGCAACTACCATCACGAGAGTTCGCGATACCCCCTCCAAGCAGCTGCGCGGACTGTTGGGGAGGGGGACTTACAGGCTGCCACTCACCTATCCAATGTGATGCATCCGAGTCACCGGCACCAAGATGTTAGGGGGCTTATTCCTTCACCCACTTACTTCCCTGGTCCTTCTCACATGAACAGAGAGCAACAATACCCGAAGTCCAAAGGTGCAAACAATTCGATGTTTATTGGGGTGAACTTCCAGCAAGCATGATTCCAGTTTCCTTCCTTAGTATCCTCCTTCCCAGCTCTGACACCACAGAGCCTTACACCTATGTCCCTGTTCCCATTCCTGCCCTTAGCCAAGCATGATTCCAACTTCCTTACTCCCATTCCCTGTTCCCATTTCCCCCTTTAGCAAAACATGATTCCAATTTTCTTACCCCCATTCCTTGTTCCCATCTCCCCCTTTAGCAAAACATGATTCCAATTTTCTTACCCCCATTCCCTGTTCCCATCTCACACACCCACCCCCCCCACACCCCAGTCACTTCCTCATTGACTACAGATTATATAGTAAAACTTGAGTTCTGCTTAGCTATACCTTAACCAATCATTTTCCTGAAATTTAACTAACCAATCTTAACATATTGTAACATGATTATGTAACCAATTATATCCCACCACCTCAATTAGTTTACACCCAGCAAAATTAATTATACAGCAGACAGGAACAATCACAGAACCAGACAGAGATTATACAGACAAACAACAGCAAAGTGGGAACTATAATGCCAAAACAATACAGAAGTGAGGATTTCACATCCCAGCTATTGATAAGTGAGTTCTTGCCAGACAGGATGCTATCAAACTAAGTTTCCTTTTACATTTTCTAGGCACTTCCCTTTCTCTGGAGGTGATAGGAATACAATCCTGTCCTGATAGTGCCTAACAGCCCAATAGCACCTTATTTCAATGTGACTAGTTTGGAATGTGAGGATGTGACCCTTCGCTTCCCAGCTTATGGCTGCCTCTGCTGCTTAGCCAAAGGCCTTAGCCTAAGCACAGGGCCACAAACTGTCACAGTAAGAGAAGGCCCTTACACTGGCAGACAGTGGTTTTGATTCTTTCTTTTATACCTCTATCACTAGCCAAGTGATAAGAATACACCTAAATTCTTAGAGTATAGGCCTTTACAGACAGGCCTGAATATCTATATCCTAACACAGGCCACAGACTTTCACCCAGTTACGCTTACATTGAGCCCAGTAACTTGTGTTTGATTGAAGAGTATTTTCCAGGAAGGTAGCTAAGCCTTGATCTGGAGACAACAAGAGCTGGGGAATGCACCAAACCTCCCTTGGTTGACTGTTCCATGGTTAAGTGCCTCACTATTTAAAAATTATGCCTTATTTCTAATTTAAATTTGTCTGGCTTCAGCTTCCAGCCATGAGTTCTTGTTCTGCCTTTCTCCACTAGATTACAGAGCCCGTTAGTATTTAGGATTTTCTCCCCAAGAAGGTCTTTACACAGTGTAATCAAGTCCCCTCTCAGTCTCCTGTTCGATAAGCTAAAAGGTTGAGCTTTTTAAGTCTCTTGCTATATAGGCCCTCAAATAATTTTTGTGGCTCTTTTCTTCCCCTCTCAAATTTATCACCAGCTCTGTAAAATATGGACTGGATGCAGAACTGGATGCAGTATCCATCACCGAAGCCCCCTACAGATGTGCAAATCACCTCCCTGCTCCTTCTCGCTTCTGCAATTTATATACCTAAATGCCACATTAGCCCTTTGTTCCACAGCATCCCACTGGGAACTCATGTCGAATTGCTTGCCCATGCTGACGTAAGTCCTTTTCAGTCACTGCTTTCCAGGATACAGTCTCCCATGCTGTGCCTATGGCCCTGGGACTGTCTCCGGGTCAAGGTGGGAATCAGAGGCAATGGCTTCTCCCCTGGAGTCCCAGACAGGTTCACTCTCTGTGGCGCTGGGAGAACTCAGGGCTGCCGTGCCTCGCAGCCGGAATATGGGCCCCTCCTGGCTGGTGCAATCTATCAGGGAGCCATAGGAAGTTATTGCTTTTCAGACCCTGAGACGAGGCCCCTGGGAGGGAGCACCGCGTGCACAGGAATCTCTGCCTGGGGGAACTGGCTGGGTGGCCTTTGGAGGATGGAGCCCCTGTCGGGCCTAGGTTTGGGGGTACCTGTGCTCTGCAGGATCACCCTGAGCACTCGCTCCCGGATATCCCTGGTCCTCACCCCGTACACGATGGGGTTCAACATGGCTGGGAACAGGAGGTAGAGGTTGGCCAGGATGATGTGGATAGGGGGAGCCACATGGTGGCCAAAGCGGTGTGTGAAGAAGGAGAAGAGGGCCGGGGTGTAGGAGATCAGGATGACACAGATGTGGGAGCTGCAGGTACCAAAGGCCTTGAGCCAGGCCTCCCAGCACGAGAGGTGCAGAACAGCACGGACAATCAGGAAATAGGACAGACCGATAAACAGCAGGTCCCCACCTATGACTCGCAATGCCACACTGAGGCCGTAGGCATGATTAATGCTGGTGTCTCCACAGGCCAGCTTCACCTTAGCCATGTGCTCGCAGTAAGTGTGTGGGATGACGTTGGTCCAGCAGAAGGACATCCTTTTAATCAGAAAGGGGCAGGGGCTCATGAGCAGCGCCCCCCTGGCTATGGCCGCCACGCCCAGTTTGGCAACGAGGCGGCCGGTGAAGACAGAGGTGTAGCCCAAGGGAGCACAGATGGCCACGTAGTGATCCAGGGCCATGGCCAACAGCACAGACGACTCCATCATGGAGAGGGAGTGAATGAAGAACATCTGGGCCAAGCAGGCCCCGGCATTGATCTTCCTGGCCTGAAACCAGAAGATGCAGAGCAATTTCAGCAGGGTGCAGGTGGAAGCTCCCAGGTCGATGGCTACCAGCATGCAGAGGAAATAGCACATGGGTCGGTGCAGGGCTGGCTCTGTGGCGATGGCTAGGAGAATAGCGCAGTTCCTGACGATTATCACCAAGTACATCGTTCACATGGGCACCGAGATCCAAACGTGAGCTTCTTCCAGCCTGGGGATGCCCAGCAGCAGGAACATGGCAGGGTTTGAAGGTGTCAGGTTGGTAGCAGCCATGGCTGGCCCCTGGTTCTCCAGCTGTGTTCACTGCAGCTCGTGCTGCCTGTGAATAAGGACACAATAAAACAGGGAAGGGAGACCAAGCCAAAGGAGAGACCAATTCTGTATGGACGCTGCCCGGTGCTGCTCACAGCACCCTGTGCACTTGGAATTGCTGTCCCTGGAGGAAGCAAGAATAGGGGCAGAGGAGTCTCAACCCAGCAACACCGGGTCTCCTAGTTTCTACGGTCTCAGCGAGGTTGATAGTAGCGAGGGTGATGCTGGAGGAACCCAGCAGCTAGACCTGCTCTTAGCCTCATTCCAAAGCAGGGTCCCATCCCCTCTGTCGCTCTGCAGTGCCCTGTGAACCATGCTGCATGAATATCCATAACATAATCCTGTCCCTCCCCTTGCCGGGGGGCCTGGGCTGGTGCTGACTTCGCTGGCACCAGGCTTCTTAGCTGAGACCTGCTGGGTTCAGCACTCAGGTGTGGGTGCTGTCAGGCTCACACACACCTCACCTGGTTCAGCCAGGCACTAACTGGCCTCCCTGGGTTCTGCCTCCTCTCAGCTTCCCCTTCCCCTCCCTGGCTAATTCTGCTTTTTACTTGATTAGCCCCCACTTGCTGATGCTGGCTTTCCCCTTCTCCTCACAACTGTGCTGAGCTCACTTGACCCAGCCAGCTATGTCTTCTCTGTTTCTGCCAAAGGAAGCAGCTTCTGCCATTCAACTCAGAACTGGATGGGGAGCAGAAATGAACTGTAAAATGTAACACAGACTTCAAGCTAAAGGATGTGTAGACAAACCCACTTATACGGCCCATGCTCTATAGAGCATAAGAACATGAGAAACATAAGAACGGCCACACTGGGTCAGACCAAAGGTCCATCTAGTCCAGTATCCTGTCTTCTGACAGTGGCCAATGGTAGGTGTCCCAGAGGAAATGAACAGAACTGGTAATCATCCAGTGATCCATTCCCAACTACTGGCAAACAGAGACTGGGGACATCATCCCTGCCCATCCTAGCTAATAGCCATCGTTACAAATTATTCTAGTTAGGACACGTACAGTTCACTTCTAGGCTGAGGCAACCAAATAAAGACAGACTGCAGAGTGTCTCAAAGTTGGTAGGTTTATTGCACTCGAGTGTGGTACCGTTCTGTTAAGCAGAATGGGTCCCAGATTACAGGTTACACAAAGATTATATACTGTTGGCAAAACATCGTGCCTGTGTGCCTCGGGGGGCCTAAACCAATAAACAGGCCATCTCCTTATCTATTACCAATCCCCTGCAGCCACCTTTCCCATGCAAAAAAGCTGAATTAGGAACTATTTCAGGCATGTCGGCTGGTTCCTGTCTCCTTTGTTTCCCTTATCTTGAAACTGTCCAGCTGTCCACCTTGACGGATCCTCCCTTGGTACGTAATGTGCTCGCTTCTAGTTAATGGCCAAGAGGAAACCCAAAATGGAGTCACATATACTAACTAGGTTGATGTCATAGAATCATAGAATCATAGAATATCAGGGTTGGAAGGGACCCCAGAAGGTCATCTAGTCCAACCCCCTGCTCAAAGCAGGACCAATTCCCAGTTAAATCGTCCCAGCCAGGGCTTTGTCAAGCCTGACCTTAAAAACCTCTAAGGAAGGAGATTCTACCACCTCCCTAGGTAACTCATTCCAGTGTTTCACCACCCTCTTAGTGAAAAAGTTTTTCCTAATATCCAATCTAAACCTCCCTCACTGCAACTTGAGACCATTACTCCTCGTTCTGTCATCTGCTACCATTGAGAACAGTCTAGAGCCATCCTCTTTGGAACCCCCTTTCAGGTAGTTGAAAGCAGCTATCAAATCCCCCCTCATTCTTCTCTTCTGCAGGCTAAACAATCCCAGCTCCCTCAGCCTCTCCTCATAACTCATGTGTTCCAGTCCCCTAATCATTTTTGTTGCCCTTCGCTGGACTCTCTCCAATTTATCCACATCCTTCTTGAAGTGTGGGGCCCAAAACTGGACACAGTACTCCATATGAGGCCTCACCAATGTCGAATAGAGGGGAACGATCACGTCCCTCGATCTGCTCGCTATGCCCCTACTTATACATCCCAAAATGCCATTGGCCTTCTTGGCAACAAGGGCACACTGCTGACTCATATCCAGCTTCTCGTCCACTGTCACCCCTAGGTCCTTTTCCGCAGAACTGCTGCCTAGCCATTCGGTCCCTAGTCTGTAGCTGTGCATTGGGTTCTTCCATCCTAAGTGCAGGACCCTGCACTTATCCTTATTGAACCTCATCAGATTCCTTTTGGCCCAATCTTCCAATTGGTCTAGGTCCTTCTGTATCCTATCCCTCCCCTCCAGCGTATCTACCACTCCTCCCAGTTTAGTATCATCCGCAAATTTGCTGAGAGTGCAATCCACACCATCCTCCAGATCATTTATGAAGATATTGAATAAAACCGGCCCCAGGACCGACCCTTGGGGCACTCCACTTGATACCGGCTGCCAACTAGACATGGAGCCATTGATCACTACCCGTTGAGCCCGACAATCTAGCCAGCTTTCTACCCACCTTATAGTGCATTCATCCAGCCCATACTTCCTTAACTTGGTGACAAGAATACTATGGGAGACCGTGTCAAAAGCTTTGCTAAAGTCAAGAAACAATACATCCACTGCTTTCCCTTCATCCACAGAACCAGTAATCTCATCATAAAAGGCGATTAGATTAGTCAGGCATGACCTTCCCTTGGTGAATCCATGCTGGCTGTTCCTGATCACTTTCCTCTCATGCAAGTGCTTCAGGATTGATTCTTTGAGGACCTGCTCCATGATTTTTCCAGGGACTGAGGTGAGGCTGACTGGCCTGTAGTTCCCAGGATCTTCCCCTAACAGGATTTCCCCTAACAGTCCCTCCTTTCCTTATGTACGTCAGTGTAAGCAGAGTCAGGATGAGCTCCACTCTGACATCTGGTGGAGAGGTGTGGCAAGTTGTGGAAAAGAACTTCAGAGACTGATCTCATTTGCATAGGCACATCCACCCTGCCTAGAATGAGGCCATAGCTGCCCAAATGGTCACTTTGGCTGCTGTGGGATCCCCAGTGTCTCTGTTATTGGGGCAGGAAGAATAAATTGTTATTACCCTGATTATGGGAATCAAGGACAGTGGAACTGTACTTGGCCTTTTGTTATGATGGCGGGACTCGCCATCAACTAAGTAGCACTCGCTAGGCAAGGGACATGGGGGAGGGATAGCTCAGTGGTTTGAGCATTGGCCTGCTAAACCCAGGGTTGTGAGTTCAATCCTTGAGGGGGCTATTTAGGGATTGGGGCAAAAATTGGGGATTTGTCCTGCTTTGAGCAGGGGGTTGGACTAGATGACCTCCTGGGTCCCTTCCAACCCTGAAATTCTATGATTACAAAACTCTGTGAATTGAGAGAGGCTGGGGACAGGTATTAATATTTGGTGGCATGAGCCCCCTGGTGAGGGTCTTTAGTGCTAATTGCACTTCCTCCTCTCTCCACTGTGGTATATCAGAGCTAATGTTGATTTCATAAGGAGTCTAGTCACAGGCTGCTGAGCTGAATTCACTTTGGGCTAATGGTGCACCAGCACTGAGGCTCCCCTGCTACAAGCTGAAACCACCAAAGAGCTGAACTGACTAAGAGCTGAAATCGCTGAGCGTTGTGTTAAGTAGTGGGGGAGCCTGAAGATACATGGTGGAGCAGTTTGCGGGACGGCGAGCGGAGCAGAGCGGCTGGTGGAGCAGAGCAGTTTGTCGGATGCCTAGAGCAGCTCATGGGGCGGCTGGCAGAGCGGAGCCCTATGGAGAGGTGGGGCCATCAGCTTTGGACCACGTAAGGTGCCCCTTAACCCCCCCCCCCCTCCCCGCAATCTCCACCCAGGTTGGGAGGTAAAACTCTGCAGATAAACTTTTGAACTCTGGGGCTGCCCTGACCAGGGACAGAGACTTTGGGGTCATTGGACTTTTGGGACTTCGGGTGATTTTGGGTTGCTGGACTCAAGAACCAAAGGGAAAGGACACATCCCAATTTGCTTGGGTGGGTTTTTTGCTCATGGGTTGTGTTATGAATCCTGTTGATGGTGTTTCCCCAACATAATGCCACATTGTTTCTCTCTGTTATTAAAAGGCTTTTTGCTACACTCAGACTAGGTGCTTGCGAGAGAGGAAGTATTGCCTCTTGGAGGCGCCCAGCGGGGGTGGTATATATTTGTCCCAGGTCACTGGGTGGGGGCTCGAGCCGGTTTGCATTGTGTTATTGGAATGGAACCCCTAGATATTGAACCTGGCCCTTGTTGCTGCCAACTCTGACAGGCAGAAGGGTTACATCAGTAAACTATATTGGGGCAGAATAACCTCGATGCAAGATTAAAATTTGTCAGCAGCACATACCACAGCATTGTAGGCATACAAAGAATAATACAAAAACAGAAACAGCCATAAGAATGAGGTACAAAATACACCTTCCCCAAGTCTGGCAGCCAGGAGGTGAGCCAGCTCCAGGCATCATGGAATCCGGTGCTGGTGTCGTCGAGGGTGACACAGTGAAGCGAGGTGGCCTGCTGCATAAGGGTGTGGATATCGGTTTTCACCCTGCGGTGTTGATTCACAAAGACACAAGAGCGCAACACCCCTTCCCCTCCCCCCCCTGGTTTGCAAGGAGATAGGCTAAGCGGTTCTGCAGTGTGGTCTGAGATAACTGAGTCACCTCAATTTGAAGGGTAGACAAGGCGTCTGCGGTGGCATTTGCCATTAATTCTAAGGCTGCAGAAATATTAACTATAGCCTTTTCCAATTCGCTCACCCCCACCCAGGGCAAAAATCAACGAACAAAGGAGTGAAAGCCTGTAGGCTGTTCAGAGAGAGGGTTTAATGGGACATTTAGTCGGTTCCTCCATACCAGGTTCCGAATTTCCCCCTGGGCCAGCGTCTGGTGTATTGCATCAGTGGCTACTATGGCTCCTAAGGTGCATGTACCACACCAACCTGCTGGGGGGACCTTATAAGCCGTGTGGTTGCACAACCAGAACCAGCCTGATCCCTCAGGGACTGGCCATGGCACCCTGGAATACTTGGGGGAACTTGCCGCACCAGAGCTAATGCGGGTGGTATCATTGCACCCTACAAAGTTACCCACAAAAACTGTATTTTCGAAATTCTTACGTTGTGACACACATAAAGCATAATTACCCTGGGCCACCATATCAATAAACCAAGTTTGGATTGTAACATTCCAGTTAAATGGAGTGTCTGTCCATAATCCAGCCATGAGGGTTCGGTTGAGAGGGATAGGCATCCCTACCAATGGGATTCCCTGACCTATGTACATGGGCGTATGAATACAGACCCAACACTGCGTTCGGTTAACCCCCTGTGCTATAGCATGGGTTAAATGCAGGAAGCTGTTGCCTTCCCATCCGTGAACTGAACTCAAGAATAGAGAGGGGATTCCACTGGCCACTCATACCAGTATTTGCATCCTCCCGTGTACCACGCAAAAAACAGGACAACAAATATAAGTCCAGGTAACAAGAAGTCCTGATGGAATCTCAAGATCCCAATAGTTGGGGAGTTCAGCCCAGGGACTGCCAGTGGTGTTCATTTGCGGAGCGGCTCGTCAGAGAGCTCATCAGGCCCAGGCGGGTGTCCCTGTGCCAACTTAGCGTAGCTGTGATGGATCCAGGAACTTCTACCTGCAACTTTTAAAGCAGAATAAGTACATAACAGAACCTGGTACTGCCCCTCGCAGCGGGGTTCTAAGGGGTCTGTACGGGGGAATTTTTTTACCACCACCCAATCCCCTGGTTTGAAGGGATGAACCTGTAACCCCAATGGCGTGGTTTGAAACAATTGAGCCCCAGACTGGTTGTTATTGAGCTCTATTTGTAATCTGGCTACCTACCTGGTCAAGGTCTCATCTCCATCCAAAAGGCTAGTGTGAGTGGGAACATAGGTTCCCAGAACCAAAGCTGGCCTCCCAAACAATACCTTGAATGGGGACAAGCCCAGGGGCATGCATGGGGCCCACCTTATGTCTGTATACACGGTAACAGATTTCCCAACAGACAAAAAGCAAGCCCTACTAAGAGCGTGTAATTCCGCGCCCTGAGCACTAAAGGAAGGTGGAAGGGGGGCTGCTTCTACAACGGTTGTTTGAGTAGTGATGGAATAGCCAGATACCCGCTGGCCCTCCAGATAGAAGGAGGAGCCATCGGTAAAAAGGGACAGGTCCGGGTTTTTCAGAGGGAGGTCGCATAAATCCGGGCGAGGCTTACCGCTCTCAGTGACGACGTCCATACATACATGGTGAGGCGTGCCATCCTCCGGAAGGGGTGTCAGTGTAGCAGGGTTGAGGACATTGCAGCGGCAAAAGGTGATGTTGTCAGCGGCCAGCAGAATCCACTTGTATTTGTGTGCCCACAGCAGAGACAGCCCCTGTGTTGTATGGTGTTTTAAGAGAACCTCAACCTCGTGGGGGACCCAGACAGTCAGAGGGTGCCCCAGAACAATAGGGTGTGACCGGTCCACCATAAGGGCCGCAGCGGCTGTGGACCGCACACAGGAGACTGATCCCCGAATGACAGGGTCTAATTGTATGGAATCGTAAGCTATGGGGTGTGGGCGATCCCCTAGGTACTGCAATAGGACACCGCTGGCCACTCCCCGCTGCTCGTGACTGAAGAGAAAAAATGGTTTACTGTAATCCGGGAGTCCCACGGCGGGTGCAGAGATCAGGGCTTTCTTTGTGGACGTGAAAGCAGCTTCCATCTCCGGGGTCCAGAGAACAGGATCGGGGTTAGGAGTTGTGGTGGCCTGGACTAACAGTTTCACCAATTCCCCGAAGGCCACTATCCAGGGTCGGCAGAACCCCGCAGCCCCCAGGAAAGCCCACTTTTTTGTATCGGGCATGGGTAATCCTGGATTGCCTGCACCCTATCAGGGGAGAGTAAATGCTCTCCAGGCTGAATCACAAAACCTAAATAGATCACTGGGGTTCGGCACAGCTGCAGCTTGGATGGAGATGCACGGTGGCCCTTATTAGCTAATGCAGTAAGCAGAGTAACAGAATCAGCTAAACATGCATTATAATCAGAGCTAGCAGTCCACAAATCATCCACATGTTGGACTAGAACAGAGGAGCTGGGCAAAACAATGTCTTTCAAATCATCGGCTAGAATTTGGGAAAAAATAGTGGGGGAGCCTGAGAACCCTTGGGGGAGGCGCATCCAGGTTAGCTGCTGCCCCCCCCAAGTGAACGCAAACAGATATTGGGAGTCAGGGTGCAAAGGAATACTGAAAAATGCAGCACACAAGTCTACAACCGTGAAAGAAGTAGCTGACTGGGGAATCAGTGTCAGGACAGTACTCGGATCAGGGACCACTGGGTGGGGGGTTATAACATAACTATTTATCGCACACAGATCTTGAACGAACTGATAAATTGGGTGCCCATCCGGGCCCAGTCTTGGCTTTTTCACAGGAAGGATAGGAGCATTACAAGGAGAACTACACAAAACCAAAACCTCCTGGGTTAAGTAGCTAGAGATAAGAAGGGAAATACCTTCCTCCGCCTCCTTCGGCAAGGAATATTGTTTTACGGAGGGAGGCGACCCATCCCTCACCTGTAGACTGACTGGAGTGTCTGATTTAAGGAGGCCCACGTTGGTGGAACTCACGCTGCACAAATTGGGTGGAACGCTGGACAATTCTGTGGGGAGATCGGGAATCGGGGTAACCAAGGCCATAAGAGAAGCAACCGCCAAGTGCAGGACGGACATGCGAAGTCCTTCGGGGGCACAATATATGTGGGCTCCCAGCTTGCTAAGCACGTCCCGCCCAAGAAGGTCAGTGAGGCCTTTTGGCATGACAACAAATCTATGTGACAACTTTAAAGAGCCCAGCTCCACAGGGACGGGGCAGGATAGGGGAGCCGGGCACAGGTTGCCCTCAATACCCTCTACCCAGACCTTGGTATTAGAAAGAGAGCCCGGAACAAAAGTGGAAAGGGTGGCTCTGGTATCCACTAAAAAGGGCACAAACTGTTCCCCAATTTTCAAGTAAATTTGCGACTGCAATCCAAGATCCCATTCCAACTCTCCCACGGCTCCCAAAATCTCCGCCTCTAGTCACTGGGGATTAGTGAAGACCTGGGGAGCATTAGCTATTATCTAAAGTATCCAAAGTATTCTCCGACTGGTTTATGAATGTTATAATTCGTCAAGAATTATAACATTCGTAAACCAGTCAGAGAACACTTCAATCTCTCTGGTTACGCGATTACAGACATGAAAGTTGCTATATTATAACAAAAAAACTTCAAATCCAGACTCCAGCGAGAAACTGTTGAAATGGAATTCATTTGCAAATTGGATGCAATTAACTTAGGCTTGAATAGAGACTGGGAGTGGCTAAGTCATTATGCAAGGTAACCTATTTCCCCTTGTTTTTTCCTACCCCCTCCCCCCCCCAGACGTTCTTGTTAAACCCTGTATTTGTGCTGGAAATGGCCCACCTTGATTATCATACACATTGTAAGGAGAGTGATCACTTTAGATAAGCTATTACCAGCAGGAGAGTGGGGTGGGAGGAGGTATTGTTTCATGCTTTGTGTGTATATAAAAAGATCTTCTACACTTTCCACAGTATGCATCCGATGAAGTGAGCTGTAGCTCACGAAAGCTCATGCTCAAATAAATTGGTTAGTCTCTAAGGTGCCACAAGTACTCCTTTTCTTTTTGCGAATACAGACTAACACGGCTGCTACTCTGAAAGGTTCAAGGGATTAGTCAAGCCAAATAAGTATCATTTGGAATATAGGCGCTGACTTTTTAGTTCCCAATGGGTGCTCAACCCCTGCTCCACCCCGGACCCCGCCCTCTCTCCACCTCTTCCCCCAAGCCTCCACCCCGCCTCGCCTCTTCCCACCCCCATTCCTCTCCCTCCCCCACCTCTTCCTGCCCCTACTTCTCCCCTTCCTCCCAGGACTTCCTGCACACCGTGGAACAGCTGATTGCAGGGGGTGGGAAGTGTTGGGACGGAGGGGGAGGTGCTGATCAGGGGGGCTGTCAGTGGGTGCTCAGCACCCACCTTTTTTTCGCGTGGGTGCTCTAGCTCCAGAGCACCCACGGAATCGATGCATGTGATTT